ACCTATGCCAGTGGAATTGCCATGGTGATGGTAGGGGGGCTGTGGACTGATGCAGATTGAGGTGGAACAGGTGGTGAGAAACTAAGATCCACATCCTGCATGCAAACCCCAAGGAGCCGCAGGCAAAGGACTCCACTCTTAGGGGAGATTCTTAGTCTGGCAATTCTAAATTGTCTGCCTCTAGGGAGGATATGCAGAGACTCCTTACCTGCCTCTATTCTGATGGGGATGGAGGGTAGGAGTGGGTGAGGATGAGGCCTCAAAGGAAACTCAGGTAAATTGTCTGTTAAAATCAGTATCTCCCATCATTCCATGTCAATTAAAGATTGGAGTACATGTAAATGCTGTGGATGACCAATTTGAATGAGATATACTGCTTCAGAGAGCAGGAAACAGATAATGCATGAATAGAACTTAAAAAAAGCTTCCTAACCTCACCTCCCAAGACATACTATTTATCTATTGGAAACAAAAAAAATTGAATGTAGGAATAGATGTCCACAAAAAAGAGCAACTCAGAAAATTAAAAATTCTGAAAAATAAAGGACATGATTGCTAAGATGAACATTCAAACTAACAGGACTGATTGAAGTGAAAGATCAAAGAGTGATTCCAAAGATAAAGAGATGTCCCAAAATATGGAGCAATAATGAGGGCAAGTCAAGAAACACAAAGGATTTAATGTCTATCTAGTAGTAGTAGGAGACAACAATGGATGAAGGAAAAGTGTTTTTTAAAAAAATAACACACACACAAAATAATGTCCCTGAACTAAAGAAAAACATGTTCAGATTGAAAAATGCAACCAAAGACAACAAATTTTTAAAAATTTATCTATCTATCTATCTATCTATCTATCTATCTATCTATCTATCTGTCTGTCTGTGTAAACATTGAAACATATTCCTGTGGAAGCTCAGAATGACAAGTTTGAAAAAACTAATATTTTGCATAGAAAGAACAAATTTCTCATGTGAAAATAAGGAATAAATTGGCATTAAATATCTACACACATTTATCTAAAGCCACCTTAGTTGCTAAAGACAGTAGATCAATGATTCATCTGCAAAACAAAAAAAAATTTTCAACCCAGAATCCTATATATAGTCAAATAAGTAATATGAGAATAAAGTGAAACTGTTAAGCACTCACAAAGTTTACATCAACCCTGTCCGAAAAAATACATTGAAGATGTGCTCCTTCCAACTGAGAAGGAATCCAAGAAACAGGGAGGTGTGGAGCCAAGAGCCAGGGAAACTGGTTCAGGAAAGCACTGGAGAGAAAGCACAAGGATCATTTGTGTAACGTGCCTGGAAACTGTCAGTTCAAGCTGAAGAGGAAGTGAAAGCACTCCTTGAAGACTATCTTTAAGAACATAAATTTCATTTCATACATTGAGTATGTAAGAACCTGGAATATTTAATGATCAGAGAAGACATTTTAATAATTACAGATGTAAATGCACGCACATACACATTAGAAATTAGAAACTGAGGAAAATGAATGCTGTACAAGGAAGTCGTGACCCAAATAGGAAACTAACTAAAGCACAACTGATTTTGAGTCATAGATAGAATTTAGGAAAATTTTCTATTTAATCATGACACATGTTGAATAGGATACTTTTCTATGGATTCCAGCACTCTACTTGTTTTTGCCATAAACCTATGCACAAAGTACAGGAGAATTATAGTTAATAGATCAGAATGAAGATATTAAAGCAATGACAAAACTGACCAGAAATAGGGGAAAGGGAGAGAGACGGAAAGCCCTGCAGGTATATAATGTCTTCATCTTGTGGAAGGGCCATCAAGAGTTAAAACAGGGACAGGGTTATGCCTGGGAGTGGGATTTGGAGATGAAAGAGAAAAGAGGAGGAAGCAGTATGTGACTTTGTTAGTGTACACACTGAGGAGCACCCCAAAACCCCCAAATTTGCACACTCTAAATGGGTTCTACCATCCTTTGCATGAAGACAAAAGGAAACTTGATAGGATTAGTGTGCGTAGAGAGAAGAGAAGAATAATTTTTTTCCAATTAAACACCCAGAGTTACCGATCCCCTCTGGGTAAATGCCCAGCCAAACAGAGTTGGCCCAACATGGGGCTGATGAGGTCTGAAAGCTTGCAGTAAGTCTCAGGCACCTCTCTCAAGGAACCACAGGAAAGGGGCAGAAGGGGTCAGGTAAGTTCCGGATGGAAGGAGCAAAATCAAAGTACAAATCAAGATAACTGCTGCATTGTCTGCCTCCCCATGTGTCTCTCACCTCATATCTCTCCCAAGCGCCAAGCATCTCATCTCTGTCTCAACTCCATGTATCTCCTTCCATATCCCATCCTGGTGCAAGTCCAAGGCTGAGAAACAAGTGTGTTCTCCTTCATAAGTTTCTCTGCTCCATGTGTCTCTCCTCTTGTGTCTCCGAGTGTTCTCTCCAAGTCTCCTCTAACTCCCTGTAGCTGCTCTGGCCACCCTTCATTAGGGCAGGGAACACAGAACTGTAATGTAACAGGGTGGTCCCCAAGGAAAGGGGAGGTTCCAGGTTTCCTGCCCCACTCAAGGAAGGGTGGAGCTAAGCAGAGAAGAGAAAAAGCTGGAGAGGAGACTGGAGGAAGGGAGAAGGATGGAGAGCCAGAAGAAGACTGGGGGAAGCACAGGGAGCAGAGAGATTTGTAAAGAAGTTGCACTTGCTTCTTTTTTTTTTTTTTTTAAAGATTTATTTATTTATTTATTTATACAAGCACTGGGTACAGTCAGAAGCGTGGGAGGGTGAAAGAATTCACCAGAGCCAGAGCGGGGAGCAGAACAGGCAGACTGACGAAATACACTGTTGAGGGGAGCAGTGGGCGCAACAGAAGAGGTCTGCACACCATGTGGGACCCTTGCTGGCGACTGGGGATCGAACTGGTGCTGCAGAGGCTGTGGGCAGCTTCACAGCCCAGTGCTCAACCGCTGCACCACCAGGGGAGACCCTGCACTTGCTTCTTGGTCCTGGACTAGTTGAAACAGATGTAGGTGAGTGACCCGTGGGAAGGTTAACAATGGTTAACGATTATGATTTATTCTTTTTCTTCCAGACTTGTCTGGCTGTTTCTGACCCTTTTCTATGGATCCCCATAGGAAGGTGCTTTAGACTTGTGGCAGGCTTTTGGGCCTCAGTAGCCCTGCTTTGGGCCAACCCTGTCTGGCTAAGCATTTACCCACAAGGGGATGGGTAACTTCGGGTGTTTGATTTGGAAACTATATTCTTTGTCTTTTCTTTGTTGTACACTAATTGTATTAAAGTTCCTTTCTATTGAAGGTCTTATGCACTATAATATGTTTTGTCTTGATGTGCTGGATGGCAGAACCTATTTAGAATGGACAGATTTGGGGGTTCTGGGGTGCCTCTCACCCTGCCCTGTAACAGAACATCCCCTTTTTATGGTCATCTCTCTCTGTAACATATTTTGTCTTCAGTCTCAGAGACTTCTTTATCATTTCTATAGAGGGTCCAGAGTCTCAACTACCACTGCCTGATTTGAGAACCATAGTCTAGTGCGCATTCCCAAGCACTCACTTTTTCTTTTCTGTAATTCTCTTGTTTCTGGACCATATTATATCTTTCATGCATTCTTTTGTGTTTTGTTTGGTAATGCTTCGTGTTTGCAGCAGGCAACATACATCTTACTCTACCATCCTGACTAGAAAGTCATTATATTACTATTATAATTAAAAAATGATATTCTAAATCATGGAAAATTCATTCCTCCTTTCAGTATCTACTTCTTTATATAAGGACACTGTACAGTTGCTAGTTTTCGTACATGCAAAACTGGAACTTTTCTTTCAAATCAAAATGGTCTCACTTTTCTGAATTCTACAAGTTATTCCAGAGGAAAGCTGAGGCATGAGGAAAACTGTGGATACTCAAGACATCCACCCATCCTCTTTCTGTGCCATGTACCTCCAATCCCCTAAGCCCTGCCTTCAGGTAGGAGGATATATACTAATGTCTCAGTGTTCAGAGATGTTAATATGTTGTTTCCACCTGCAGTAGTTTCACAACCTCCCAGTCTGCACATTTCTCCTTTTGGAGAATTTTTGCACATGAAGTCACTTCTGCTTCCCTCTTCCCTTCTGTTCTGTCTTCATGGGAAATGAACAGTTTACTCTCCCCTACCCCCTTTTCTCTCCTTTTCTCCTCAGTGGCAGGAGGTTATTATTTAGTCACCCACTAGCCATTTCTTTCCCTGACTGACTCACTCCCATTCCTTAAAGATCCATCCTTAGGTCTTGTTTCCAGTGGTTAGTCATCCTGGTGGTTATTATGAAATGCCCCCCTAGTGCCATGTCTCTCCTTTAAGCCCTGGAGGTCAGAATGGGAAGGATACTCTGGTGAGCATTTCCCCAGGGCTGAGAGCATAATCCTATTTACAATTCTTAGACTATAAGCACAAAATACAGTAGTATAAACCATTGACAATTGTGCCCTAACAAACAAATCAGCAAATAAATACATAAATCTTGGGGTTTCCCTCATCTCTCTCTTTTTTTTTTTCTTATTGCATAGAAGAAATAGGGTGTAGATAAGAGCTGCAGGGGAGCAGGGGGTGTGAGGATTCACCAGAGACAGAGTGGGGAGCAGAACAGGCAGACTTATTGAAATAAACTGCTGAGGGGGAGCAGCGGGCAAGACAGGAGAGGTCTGCCGTGCCATGTAGGTTATCTCCCTGGCTGGGGATCCAGCTCAGGCCATAGCCATGATAGCGCTGAGACTTAACCCCTAGGCCACCAGGGAGGCCCTCCCGCATCTTTCTTGATATTGTTATATAGCAACCCCGATATTAAATGGGTTCCTGGCTGTGGGTCCTCACCCGTGTGCTTTAAAGGGACTTATGAATACTCTACTACAGACACACACAAAAGGGTTAATAAAAGGTTTATTTACAAGAGAAAAAGAAATAAGGAAAATGTACAACTCAGGGAGAAAATAGGGAAATAAAGTCTTTAATGCGTCCTACCTGATCCGACGACCTGGAAACCCAAAGTCACTCTCAAGGCTGGCCGGAAGCTCCGAGCTGGCCGAGAGCCCAAAAATGGAGAGCCCCCAAAGCCCACGTGTCTGCCTTTTGTATCCACCTAGCTGCTTAACCCCACCCTCAGGTCCCAGCCACCTTCCCTTTGGTGGTGATGGGATTTGGAGTTCCCAGTGTCTTTGGCTTTGACCTGGGGTGGGGGTGGAGTCCACAAAGCCTGTATGGAATTTGCTTTGGGACATCCTTTTTCCCCCTAACAATATCACCATTTGTACCTATCTCAGAGTCAGTTTGTTTTCCTCCGGGCTGCTACCCCTTTGCCAAATTCATTCTCACATTTATTATACTAGACCCTCCAACTATTGATGGGCCACAGGCCCACTCAAAAGACTACTTCCGAGCCTCCCTTGTAGTGTGATGGGACCCTCAAACCAAATTCTGGCCAATGGAATGTGAGGGGAAGTGTTGGGTGCAACTACTGACAAGTATTTTTAAGGATAAGGATATGCGCATTTCCCTCTCTTTCTCTTTCCCACTGCCTGGAAAAGGAAATTAAATGGTAGGGATTAAACACTCTTTGACCCCTGAGGCAACTCACTAAAAAGGGTGGAGCAAGCAATGAAAGGAGCCTGTATCCTGATAATCAAGAGACTTTGGAGCAGCTCTGGGTTGCCTACTTTTGGCATATTTTATGTACAGGAGAAACTAATTTCAGTTTTTGTAAAACGCTAATTTGTATGTGTATACGGGTAGGGGTTATTTATTTATTTCATGTAGCTAAACCTAATCCTAACTGACTCAGTGATTTTTAGGATATATTTAGGTATTTTTTGTTTTGTTTTACTTGCATAGGATGACGTAGATAAGAAATATCTAGCCATTTGTGCTTTTCTTTCTTCTTTGTATGAATAGTTCAAGTATACCAAATTCTTTTTAAATGCCAGGTATTTTCTATGCCTTGTCTCATTTAATCCTGACACAGACCTAAGATGCTATTATTATTTTCATTTTTTTTAAAGATTTATTTATTTATTTATACAAGCACTGGGTACAGTCAGAAGCACGGGAGGGTGAGAGAATTCACCAGAGCCAGAGCCAGGAACAGAACAGACAGACTGATGAAATACACTGCTGAGGGGAGCAGCAGGCACAGCTGGAGAGGTCTGTTGCGCCATGTGGGACCTGCTGGTGTCCGGGGATCAAACCAGGGCTGCAGAGCCTGTGGGCAGCTTCGCAGCCCAGCACTCAACCGCTGCGCCACCAGGGGAGGCCCTATTATTTTCATTTTTGAATGACAGTAAACTGACACTCAGAGTTAAGTAACCATGTTCAAGGTCTCAAGGTCATATTGGTGAATAGTAGTTCTGGGATTTGCAACTATAAAGCCTGGCCCCAGAGCCACTTCTTGGTACCCTTGTTAAATTTTTTTAAGCATACAAGAACTGGGGTATAGGCCAAAGGTTAGGGGAGGTGAGAGGATTCACCAGAGACAGAGTGGGGAGCAGAACAAGCAGATGTACTGAAATACACTGCTGAGGGTAGGAACGGTGGGGGAGACAGGAGAGGTCTGCTGCACCCTCTGGGTCACCGCCTTGGCACAAGGTGTGTTGTGTTGCAGTGGCTGGCAGTAGCTTGATAGCACTGTCTTTAACCCCTGAGCCACCAGGTAGGCCCCACCTTGTTAAGCTTTTGAATATTGATTCTGTTCTACCAAAGATCTACCCAAAATGTGCTCATAATAACTACCATAATAACTACCCAAAATGTGCTCATAATAACTACTGAGTCCCTGCTATAAGCAGGCACTGTGCTGGTACAGAAAGCAAATTCCAGAAAGACTGGACTGAACTGGGCAAAGGGGAAGCTGATAAAGAAGCCCAGTACTAGGGAACTCAAATTGTGATGCACCTTCACATCTTTAGCATACCTTCCAGCTCTGCTCTTCTGTGTAATTTTCTTCTTTTTCCACTGATGTATTTTGAAATTGAGACTGCTAGATGTATTCTTTTTGAAGTTCAGTAATCCATGACTCTTTTTTGTACTTTGGTCTAAATTATTCTCTCAGATGACTTCATCTGGACTTTTCTGTTGTTTTACATTAATAATTTTAATATAATAAAAATCTTAGTCATCGTTTGCTAATACTAATTCTGGAAAGTGTTATTCTGAGGTACATCTTGTCTCGTTGACTCACATCCAAACTCAAAATTATGAGACAAAAAGAATATGAAGTATAATAAAAATAGAGTAATTTTTCAGTTATTTGCCTGGTGATATTGTAACAGGGTGGTCCCCAGGAAAGGGGGAGGGTCCCTGCCCCACCCAAGGGAGGGTGGAGCTGAGCAGGAAGAGGAGAAGCTGGAGAAGAGACTGAGGAAGGAAGGAAGCAGGATGGAGCCAGAAGGAGACCTGGAGGAGGCGCATGGAACCTAGAGACACGTGAAGAAACAGCTTGTCTTTTTGGTCGTGGACTGGGTGACACAGATGTGGGTGAGACCCGTGGGGAAGTGACAATGGCAGCTTTTATCTTGATGTTGATTTTGCTCTTTTCCTTCCGGGCTTGTCTGGTTGTTTCTGACCCTTTTCTGTGGGTCCCCACTGGAAGATGCTTTAGACTTGTGGCAGGCTTTGGGGCCTTGCTCTGGGCCAATCCCATATGGATGGACTTTTACCCACGAGGGGACGGGTAACTTTGGGTGCTTCATTTAGAAACTAGACTCTTTGCCTTACCTGTATTGTTTCCTAGTTTTATTAAAGATCCTTCCCATTGAAGTCTCATGTGTTTTGTGTTGATGCGGCAGATGGCAGAACCCATGTAGAATAGGCAGGTTTGTGGGGCTTGGGCTGCCCCTCTCCCTGTCCTATAACAATATTACACATGAGTAAAACTCCCAATAAATTCAAATGAAAGATTCTTTAGTGTCACTTTTATAAGTTAGTAGACTAACATTAAAAATCATCCCCTTTTGGACTAAATAACATTTGGGAAATTCAATACTCAATATATTCAATAAACTACTAATTGAGAGCACACGTAAAGAACTACTCTTATTTGTCCTCCATATATTTCAGCTATTTTTGGACAGGAGAAAACACTTTGCCATTTTCATTTAAATAATTAAAAAGGTGAAATTTCAGTCCAAATTAAACTATCCTGCCTTACGAAATTCTATGATAATTTTTTATGCTTCCATAGAATTCTTTTATATCAACTTCACCATCCTTTAATTGAGTGTTATAGATGAAAACATGGCTTAGAATAGAGTTTAAATCCTATACATTATATATAACTTTGAACCAATATTGCCAATTAGATTCTGAGTCACTTTCATTTAGGTATGATAATATATTGACTATCTCTCAAAGAAACATAAAGAAATATGTACAGATGAAATAGGATGATGTTTGTTTCAAAATTATACTGGGACATGTGGGATGGGTATGTCTGAAACAAAAACAACTATGTATTGATAACTGCTAAAACCAGGGGGTGGCAAAGGAACTTTCTAGATAATGGAAATGTTCTACAAATTGATTAGGGTGACAGCTAGCTAGACATGTACATTTATCAAAATATACTGTACACTTAAAATCCATACATACATTGTATTGTGTCCACATTTAATGTAGAAAATTGGGTAAAGTTGGTTCATCTTACTATTCTCCCTACTTTTTTGAAAATTTTCTGATAAAAAGTAAAAAAGGGAAAGGGAAAAGAATAGTGAGGAAGGACAAAATCTACTCCAGTATTGAAGCAGGCAAATTAGAATAGTAGCATGAAATAAGAGAGCACAGATTAAGAGGGGCACCTCTCAGGTTAAAACAGATAACAGGTCATTGGCTCAGAACACTAAGGCAGTATTACAGAAAATGAGATGCCTCTGACCCAGGCATTACAAGGAAAGAGCATAAAGAGATTCACTCAGTATTTTCTGATTCAGCTCCCATTTTTTCCAACCAGCTTCATTATCAGCATCATCAGAATACCTACTTGATATTCTTATCATAAATTTGTTACACCATCATCTCTTAAGAAAAAAAAATGGTGAGAAGGAAATGTCCTTAATGTCCTTTTGGCTTTAGGACTAAGGCTTTCTCAGATTATTTAGTAGTAGACCCAGAAGGCAAAACATATTAGGGCTTTCCAGGGTAGGCCTAATTTAAAGACATCTTCAGGAAGATCAGTGCCCCTGGGTGCTTGTTTCTGTAGGGACTTTGTTTGTGAAACAAACCATATAGCCAGTCATCTGTCTGTAGATTTGTTTTTAATTTTAATTTGAACGGTAAGAGTCTTTCCATGTATATTTTCCTAAACAGTTGATATTATGATGACTAACAATCATTATTAGTGCTTGATGCAAAAGTTAGGTAACCGCGAAGGTCAAGGATGGTTTTCATGACAAAGTTGACTGATCATGACCATGAATAACAGACTCTAATATTGGGTGTGGCAGGGGAGCCCCCATCCAAGCTGCTACAGTAACATACTAAATTGTATACAAATGAAGTTTTATGTCCTGTCCCAGGGACATGCTGCCTGGATTGAAAGGACATATTTCCAGAGGTAGTTTAGGCCTGGAAGTGAGTTGTTCTCCCATCCCAACTCCCATCCCAACTCCCATCCCAAATGGACATGATTTACTTGTTCTTTACTTTCTCCCTTCTAACAGAATGCTTGCTTGAGTTAGGGTGACCCTCACCTGTCAGAGAGCCTCTTGCTTCTAGGGAGCTGACCCCCAGCCCAGCTTTCAGGGCTGAGCCAGCTTAGTCAAAGGATGCCATACCTAGATCCTCCCTAGTGACTTGTTTACAAGTTAACTTCTGTCTGTTTCTTCCACTTTAATGTAAACCCCACAAGAATGAGGATGTTCATTTGTTTTGCCAAGAATCTAGAGACATGTTTGGCACATAGTTCTTAACCAACATTTAATGAATTCAATTTTCATTCCTCTTAAGTCAATTTTAATTGAACACCAGCTACATGTCAGGGATTCTGAGTGCTGTGGGTACCAAGATACATAAGATCCAAGAATCAGTAGGAAAGACAGATATGTAAACAATGTGCTAACAATCAAGGGGATAAACACTGT